TGAATTTTTTACTGTATATATAAAAATCACTATATTTATTGCAATCTAAATCAAATTTTTATATTTTAATTGTATAAATAAAAAGCTAAGCTAGCATAAAAAATGAGCATATAATGAGTATAATCAATGTGGATTGCACGTCATTAAAAACTAGTAACAAATAAAAGTATGATGGTCATTTCACTAGTTTTGCCACGTTAGATTATGATTTTCTAACTCAAGTATGATATGTCAATCCATGCAGGATGCTCGCTAAATATTTGTGGGTCCATTGATTGCTTAATCATATTTCAGGCCACCATGTTATCACTTTGACACTTAATTGACTTTTTAAAAAAGTTGAACCACTCAATTAAAAAGTGTTCCGTTCATACACTAAATTTACAAAAAGATCTAAAGTTGAGATACTAAATTTATCATTATCCTTGAAAATACGAATTATCATAATTCATATTTTCTACTAGCTAGTATTTAGAATGCGCGTTGCAGGTTTTTAAAACTCATAAATTTATCTTTTTTGTATATTAGCATTCCAATTAAGTTCAAATATTACTTAGAATAATTAATACCTAGAGTGATTAAAAAAGGAGAAAAATGGGCATAGAGTTTTGAAGTTGAAATAGTCAATGAAAGTCATTTACAATGTTAAAGTAAAAAAAAAGGTAAGAACTGGATGCCTTTAATTGAAAAACAAAATGTATGAATTCTACAAATAAAAGCATTAACGGGAAAAAAATTATGATCATGAAATAAATTAAATTTTTAATAAACTATTGAATTTGTACTATTTAATTATGATGAAAATCTCTAGTTTGAAATATTTTTCATTCTCAATTGAATTTACCTTTTGCTCATATTTTTCTAATTTCCTTATTTTCTTGCTTTTCCAAAGGGACGAAATAATACTTTATTTTCTTTTCTTCCTTTGTTTTGACTTACCATTCTAGCAATCCAATTAGGATTCAACAAAGCCATCATTAACAAATTTCAAATAACAAGGTCGTTGTGCCATATTCAACCACCCAATTCAAAGATCCAAAGGACAATCCAATAACCCCATTATTAATATAATATTCTAGTCATTTAAATATTACAATCTGTGTGGAATTGCAATTGTGAAATTCAACTAAATTATATTTTATGTATTCTATATACATATATAAATTTTTACTAAAGTGTCAACGACTCCTTTTTTTTTTTTGAAAAATATTTTTCTAAATGACTTATTTTTCGTTGTTTGGTTGCAATATTGAAAATTAATTAAAAAATATTAAAATCTTTAACTTATGAGACCATAAAAATATAAATACTAATAGAAATTTTTTATTTCAAAAATTTTATTGTTAAATATGAACAAAATTCACCACGATCCTTAATCTGTGCATCCCCATCACCATCATTTTTAGCACTTTTGTTCTTTTCATTTTGTGCATCAGGCACATCGTCAATTCTATCATGCACATCTTCATTTTTATATGTAATATCGTAAGTTTTGTTTAGATTAAAATAAATATAAGTGATTAATTTGTATTGTACTTTGCCCTGCAAATTACTTATAATGTTACTTATTATGTACTTAATTCTATTTTTATATAATAAAGTGATATTAGAATAAAGTTTAACCCAATCCTTAGACCTAATCTTTTAGTCCATAATTTAAAAATACAGATTTTTTAAATCCTAATAGGTGATCAAAAAGAAAATCAAGTAATTACTCAATCTCCAACCTCTTCTCTCAAACCCAAGTAAATATCTATATACAACTATAATGAAGAATAATAATAAATTATTTTTACTGCTAGGTCAAAAAAAGAAACGAGAAATGATCTGAATTAATAATGGAAATTGCTTTGACTACAGTGATAATATTATTTACCAAGTGTATCAGATAAAGGAATATATGCACATACATACAGATTCTTGAAACCCAAAAAGTAACCAAAACAGAAATATATAGTTCTAGTTTTCTTTTTTCAGTTTCCTAAATACTATTTTCTTTTAAGTCAAACCAATTTAGAAAATAAGAGAAAAAAATATTAAGAAAGTTAAAAATGCTTAACCATCAATAGACCATCTATTTATTTTAAGGGAGATAAAAATCTCTTACTAAATTAAAATGATAGTAGTTACACGAAAAAGAAAGTAAAAATTATTATTAAGAATAAAACTCTTTCAAAATTCATCTAAAAAAAAAACATTTCAATGTATAGATTTATAAAATATATCAATAAAATATTATATATATTTTTAAAATTAAAATTTCAATTATTTACTATCCCATGTTTAATTATGTAAATTCTATTTGAAAATTTACTTTTTAAAAAATATATCCAACCAAATATAATAAATACAAAGAACAAAAATATTATTAAAAATAATATACTTTTTTCTTTTTTTTTATCTCTCTCCTAAATAAATGATTAAGGGAGATAAAATCTTCTTACTTAAAATTAAAAAATGAATCAGTTAGTTACAGGCCGAAGAGAAGAAAGTAAACAATTATTAATTGAGAATAAATCACTGTCCTGTTTCTTAAGAATTTCGTTAATTCTAAGAAATTAAAAACATTTCAATGTATAGGATTTATTATCAGAAATGATATCTAATAAATATTATATATGAGTTGTTTAAAAATTAAAATTTCATTATTTACTAATCGCCATGATTGTTATTATGATAAGTTGCTAATTGAAAAGTTTACTTTTTAAAAAAATATAGTCCAACAATATAAATAAAACAAAGAACAAAAATATATTAAAAATAATTATACTTTTTTCTTCTTTTTTTAATCTCGTCTCCTTAAAATAAAATATTAATATTTAATAGTATATTTGCTATATTTTATATATATTCTATTTGAATTTTTTTTTAAATATATACAATCATATAAAGAAAAAACAATATTAACAAAAAAGTATATTTTCTTTTTTTATCTATATCTCAAAAGAATTAAATATGTAATAAATGAATTATAAAAATTATCATATATATTCATTAAAAAATAAATTTAAGAAAGATAAATCTTAAAATTTTAAAATGCTTAATTATTTATATGTATTTATTTAAAAAATAATTTTTTTATTTATTTGGAGATCTGATAGGCCGAAATAACATTATAGCCTACACAGTAATCAAATTGGTGAAAACACTTGTACTTGAGAGGATTCAAACCCGAGACCTCTCACTCTTCACATAAGTGAGAAGAGTAATCAGACTGCACATAATTGGCTGAAAAAATAATTTTTATAAATTATATCCAATCAACTAATAAACTGTAATTTTTAATTGGCCGTCATTAAGGTACTTTAGGAAATTTTAAATTTCATTAAGAGTAATATAAAAAATCTTATTATTTTCCACTGTTCTCATTTTTATATATAGTATAAATATAGATAGATAGTATAAAAAGAGGTGTAGCCTAGATACATCAATATGAAACAATAAAAGAGGCGAAAAAAAAAATCAACAAAACAAAAAGAATTGAAAATCTTGAATAAACAAATCACTTTCTTTCATGAACAAACAAAACCAATATAAGGAGGCGAAAAAATATTAAAATGCAATCAAAAAAAAAAGTAAATTGAAAATCTTGAATAACAATCACTTTCATTTCCATGAAACAAAGACAAAAACCAATATATATATACTAGTTAGATATGATATATATATATGATATATATAGTGAAAAAGAAATTAATAATCTTAATATGAAGATTGTAAATTTCTTGGAGAGTCAAAATCTCGACCTTACTTACTCAAAACAATAATCATAGAACTTTTGTTTGCACTTCCCTTTAAATTTTTCAAGTACTAAATGCACAATTAATCACTTTAAATTCTTTCAAGGCTCCCATTGAAAACCAACAACAAAGATTACTAAATTTATGATTCAAAAAATTTCTAGAAGAAACAAACTTCCTATCAAAAAAAAAAAAAGAAAAGAAAAGAGAAAATCAATAAATTAACATTAATTTGAATAATACTTTTTTTGATTGGTAAGGTTTTGTACAAATAATGCACAACAAGATTGGAGCCGTTGGCCTTCGTTAGCTCAAAGAAATATGAAAGTGAGAAAGCTCGGCATGCTTTTGAGCCTTCCTTAAAATATAGCTTTAAGCATAGAGCACCACAGTCCCAACACTTCAACGAGTGGCTGCCTGTCGTTGCTAAAAAAAAAAAAAAAAAAAAAAGAAAAGAAAAGAAAATCAAAATTAACATTAATTGAATAATACTTTTTTAGATTGGTAAGGTTTTTACAAATAATGCAAACAAGATTGAGCGTGGCCTTCGTTGACTCAAAGAAATTGAAGTGAGAAAGCTCGGCATGCTTTTGAGCCTCCTAAAAATACTTTAGTAGAGCACCACAGTCCCAACACTTCAACGATGCTCCTGTCGTTGCTTGATTTGTCAATGATGGTGGTAAAAAAAGTTATAATGTTATTTTGAGAACAATAATAAGGGCATCATGGTTATTTCTTTGGTTTTGCTCTGTCATATTAGGTTTTCCCAACTCATCTATTACATGTCAGTTAATATAGGATGCTAACTAGATATTTATAGATCCACTAATTGCTTAATCATATTTCAGCTATCACATTATCGGTAAACACTTGATTAGCTTTTTTTTTTTTTTTCTTTTAAAAAGTTAAACCATCTAATTCTAAACATTTTCCGTTAATATATTAAATTGACAAAAAATCAAAAGTTAGGATGCACTAAATTTATTATTTATCCTATTTTCGAAATAGGGTTTTTCTCTTTTTTTTTTAAATAACAAAATATAATTGAAACTATCATAGAATTTATTAATTTCATAATTTTTTTACCTATTTTTCATCAACCAAACAGAATAAATCTTGTAAATCTAAGAAATATTTAAATTTCACCGATCAAATTCCATCTGTCCAAATTTCTTACCTGAAACTGACCCGACCCACATTTTATTCGTTAATGGATCATGCTAGAATTGGGCCCAACTAGTACAAAACCCTGTTTGCTGGTTGGAACCCCCTTCCTTAAGCCTCTCTTAAAACCCTAGTCCCCTCCTTAAGCCTCTTTCTTACTAAAGAAAACGCAGCAGAGCAGAGAGCAGTGTCCCTCTCTCTTTCTTCGTCCTCCTTCGCGCATACTATTGCAGTAGAGGTAAAACCAATGAAAGTTCTGATCCTTATATTTTTTTTATGGTTATTGCTATAATGGGTCTCGTAAAAAAGAAAGAAAAAAGAGATTTATGGCTTTTGATTTAACGGTGTATATTGGTTCTGCGTTTTTGCAGTTGTGACGCAAAGATGCTTGTGTTATTTGAGACGCCTGCTGGCTTTGCACTTTTTAAAGTATTGGATGAAGGGAAACTCTCCAAAGTTGAGGTAACTATTGTTTTTCTCGGAATTTCCTTTTCTTTTTCTTTTTATCTGTTTGGTTGCTGGGAAAATATCTGATTAAGTGAGAGAAATATTTCATTGGCCATTTTTCGCCAGCTTGGCAAGTTTTTTTCTTTTTCTTTTTATTCTTTTGTAAAAATATAATTTTTTGTGTTGCAGGACTTGTCTAAAGAGTTTACTAGTGCGGACACAGCCAGAAAGGTTATTCACTCTTTCTCAGCTGTAACTTTTGAATTTTATAATGATGAAGCTTTATCTGATTTGCTATTCAAGTAGATTGAGAAATTTTTGAAATTTCTTGCGTTGTTATTAATTTGTGTGAAGTTCATTTAGATGAATTCTCAGTCTTCCTTATTTATATATAGTTAATTTTTTTTTTATATATATGAATGGTTCAGGTAGTGAAATTGAAAGCATTTTCCAAGTTTGAGAACACATCTGAGGCTTTGGAAGCAGCAACCAAATTGCTCGATAGCACAACCAGCAAAGGCTTACGTAAATTCTTGAAGTCTCACTGTGACGGTGAAATCTTGGCTGTAGCTGATTCGAAGCTGGGAAATGCAATCAAAGATAAATTGGTAATCTAGTGATTTTATGCATTCTTGTAGCCATTATAAATTGGTATTTGGTTTCGTTATTTAAGTTGGAGCAATTATGTCTTGTAGAAAATAGAATGTGTTCACAACAATGCGGTCATGGAGTTAATGAGAGGTCTGAGAGCTCAGCTGACTGAGCTCATAACTGGCCTACACGCTCAAGATTTAGCACCAATGAGCTTAGGTTTGTCACATAGCTTGTCAAGATACAAACTAAAGTTCAGTCCAGATAAGGTACTTCCCTTGCACTAATATCTTGTCCCATTTTGAGTTTAATCTCTTGCTGTTAGATTTCCACTCTATGGGTTGGTTAACTTGGTTGATTCTGCTGTCATTGTAACTTCGTGTTGCTGGATTTAAACTCTTTATTTCTATAATATGTGTGGTAGATCTTGATAAGAAAATTTTGAATAATGTCAATTTGATTTGATAAATTTTGGAGTTTTGATATCCCAAGTAATGCCTTGGATTTATGAAGGGTTGCAATGATCATAATGTTTGTTGCTGTGTTTGTAGGTTGATACAATGATCATTCAGGCAATTGGTTTGCTTGATGATCTTGATAAGGAGCTCAACACGTATGCAATGAGGGTAAGAGAATGGTATGGCTGGCATTTTCCAGAGCTTTCTAAGATTGTGCAAGATAACATTCTTTACGCCAAAGCAGTAAAACTGATGGGCAGTCGTGATAATGCTATAAAGCTAGACTTTTCTGAGGTAAATTTCTGATTTGATTAGTTCATTTGCATTCTAGTTGTCTTTAAGGCAGTTTACTAGATCCTTTCTTGTTCTTGTTTGTATGAATATACTGTTTCATTTATGCATTTTGGCTTCTGTCACATGCGTACTGGTGAATCTACTGACTAGGCAGCTTTGCCTACCAGCTGTCCTGGATTGCCTTGATCATCTTTAATTTTTAACTTCTACCTTAAAGAATATTTTCTTACCATGGAATTGCTTTTAAGAACACAAGAGCACTGTGATTAATTTTAGTAATAAGAAAGATAAAGACAATAATTGTTTTTGCCTCTTCTTTTTAATATTCTTTCCTTTTCCCTTTTTCATCTTGCTAAAACTTTGCAGATACTTCCAGATGAGGTTGAGGCGGAATTGAAGGAGGCTGCAATGATATCCATGGGAACTGAAGTTAGTGATGTTGATTTGTTGAACATAAGAGAGCTATGTGACCAAGTTCTGTCCCTTTCTGAGTACAGAGCTCAGCTGTATGATTATTTGAAAAGCAGAATGAATACCATCGCACCAAATTTAACTGCTCTTGTAGGAGAGCTGGTTGGAGCTCGCCTTATTGCTCATGGTGGTAGCTTGTTAAATCTTGCAAAGCAGCCTGGTAGCACAGTTCAGATTCTTGGTGCCGAAAAAGCTCTCTTTAGAGCTCTTAAGACAAAGCATGCGACTCCAAAATATGGCCTTCTTTTCCATGCGTCCTTGGTCGGCCAAGCTTCCTCAAAGATGAAGGGAAAAATTTCTAGATCTCTAGCTGCAAAAGCAGCATTGGCAATTCGATATGATGCTCTTGGAGATGGCCAAGATAACTCTATGGGATTGGAGAACCGACTGAAGGTACTTGGAGTTCTTTCTTGAAACTTTTCTTTCTACTCTCTCTCTCTCTCTCTTGATTTTCTTATACTATGATTTTGTAGCTTGAAGCACGGTTAAGGAATCTTGAAGGGAAAGAATTGAGTCGTTCTGCTGGATCTGCTAAAGGGAAACCTAAGATAGAAGCATATGACAAAGATCGAAAGAAGGGGGCTGGGGCACTGTTAACTGCTGCAAAGGTCGGCCTGCATTCACAAATCGTTTTTGGTTATTACTCCTTTGCAGGATATATTGTTTTTTAACTCCTTTTGCTTTATCTAGACATACAATCCTTCTGCGGATTCTGTTCTTGGGCAAACAGTGAGCACTGGGAATGATGAAGAAATGATCCCTGAAAAGACTGAAGAACCTGTTGAAGAAACTCCAGATACAGATGAAAAGAAGAAAGAAAAGAAGAAAAAGAAGAAAGCTAGCGAGGAGACGGCTTTAACAGCAAATGGGAATGGCAGTGCTCAACCAGATGCTGAGGAGTCTGTAAAGAAGGAAAAGAAGAAGAAGAAGAAAGACAAAGCTGTGATTGCTGAGGCACAAAATGATGGAGAGAATATAGAAGCAGGAGAAAAGAAGAAAAAGAAGAGAAAGCACACCGAACAAGATGAAGAGGAAACCGAAATGCCAAGCAAGAAGGAGAAGAAGAAGAAGAGGAAAAGCGAGGATTGATGAGATTCACATGGTATGAACAACAATTTTGAATTATTTAGGTGGCAGTTTGGTATATCCCCTATGTAATATTTTTTTTCTGCTCTCGTGTTCCTAATTTATCTTGGCATTTGTTAGCTGCATGTATCAGAGGAAGACCGATAATTACCATTGTATTTGGAGCTAGCTAGGAACTTTTGATGATCAAATTTTCTCAATCTACCCTCTCTCCTGAGAAAATGAAATGCTTGGATAATTGATGATGAACTAAATTAGTTTCATCTCTGATCTTATTGAGGTTGCAATTTTTAATTGACATGAGTTGCATGTATAAAAATGCCTCATCTTCTCTCGGTATTAATATGTTAGACTTGTTCATTTGCTGTGTATTTTGAATAATCTCAAGTTTTCGCAGTATCTTCTTGTAACACTTTATTTGTAGACTTTGTATGCTCTTTGTTTCTTTATCAGGTGTGGCTTTCCTATTCCTTTTGGCATTGCAAGCCTCAACCTGGAGAAAGTTTTAAACAAAAATTAATCAATTGTGTAACATTAATCTTGAAAATTTCATTCTTCTACGGATGTTATAGCAAAAGGCAAGACTATAAACATGCTTCAGCTTTTAGGGTAATCGACAAATTCCTTGATTTGTCCTTGAGGTTTCATTATGTTAAATTATTTAGTTATTTCATTTAAAGTGTCATTTTTAGCTTTAAGTCTATTTAATGTAATTCATGAAGGACTAAATAGTTAAACAATATTGGATATATTTTACATTCGGTCGGGTCTAAAGATTTATTTAGGGAACGAATAATCTAGTGCTATTCGTTTCAACCTATAAATTTTAAAAAATTGATACAACTTCATTCGTTATACTTGTAAACCTGTTGAATTGAGTTGATTTGATTTGGACTAGGTTGGGTTGATTTGTAAAAGATTGTGTGCTTCTCTAATTTTTTGCAAAAAATTAGGTGCTTTGGTTAATTGTCCATGGTATAAATGTACATTCATAGAGACTTAATAATTATATATGCATATCAACTTGTGAAAATCTCGCTATTTGACATAAGTTGTGTATGACATAACTCAATATCCTTAGCATACCCTCTTTGTGTTCTACTTTAATAGCAATAATTAAACATTTTACCTTATTCCATTTTAAATATTCGTTTAAAATTTTGAGAGTATGTTCATTATCTTTTTTCAATTTTATCTTTATTTATTATGTGTTTTGCAGCAAAATTTAATGGGGAACTGCAATTTAGATATTTCAAAATATATTTTTAAAAATCAATATATTTCAATTATTTTTTTAATCCTTATGAAAAGATCGAATGTTGCAAATAAAGTGGAACAAAGTAATTACTAATGTAAACCCTATCAAAATTGGATGGAAGAAATTGTAAGAAAAACTATTTGTTTTGGAGGAAAAAGAAGCAATCAGTGGATTGTTTTCGAAAAAAAAAAAAAAAAAAAAAAAAAAAAAATTGGATGGAAGAAATTGTAAGAAAAAACTATTTGCTTTTTGGAGAAAAAGACAGCATATCAGTTGGCATTTGTTTTTCGAAAAAAAAAAAAAAAAAAAAAAAAAAAAAAAAAAAAAAAAAAAAGCTTCTATATTGATACAAATTCTCGTTAATTGACACATGTATAAAGAAATTTAGTAATAGATTATTCAATCTGTTGCTCTATTCTTTATCTATATAGTATTTTTAAATTTTATTTTTTTTATCCATATCTATTTTCTATCCTATAACGTATTATACAAACTATGTAGTGATAAATATAAAATTATCTAGAAAAGAATTACAATTCAAATTCATGTACATAAAATTTTCTTTTAGTGTTTTTAATTTTTTTAAAAATAAAATTACTGCTTATCATTTGAATCGTGTATATAAAAATATCATATAAGAGTAGTTTTATAAGTATAAAGAATAGGTAATTTATTACAGGCATAAAATTCTTTTAATTAAGAAAATTATAAAAATATATTATTACAAATTCTATATTCCAATTTACAAATTAAAGGTTATAAATTTATGATACATGGACCTTTACATTATATAAATTCTAAACCAAACAAATTTTATTCAAAAGCTAGATGAGTACATAAAAATTTAAATTTAAAAATTGTAAAACATAATTTATGGTGAAAAATAATGAGATGTATAAGTGATAAGCTACAATTTATATAGTGAAATTTATACAATTTGATATTATATAAGGGTAGAGATTTATAAGTCAAACGGAGTTGTATAATTTAATTTTTTAATTAAAAAAATACTATATTAAAAAAATAATGAGATGTCATTAGAGATTTATAAGTCAAACGGAGTTGTATAATTTAATTTTTTAATTAAAAAAATACTATATTAAAAAAATAATGAGATGTCATGTATATATGATATAATTTAAATTACATTATACATGATAAATGTTTTAACAATAAGAAAATAAAAATTTACAATTATTGATTAAAACTTTAAATAGTTTATTTTGAGTAAATGAATTTAAGTAAATGAATTTAAAGTATTGGACAATTATTTATCTTTGAATTTTATGTTTTATAGAATTATAGTTGTGTTGAAAATAGTAATTTTTTTTATTTATACAATTAAATAATTTTTTGTATTTCAATAATAAAAAGCTAAATGTTCTACTTTTGATAACTCATTCTATAGGTAACAAGTCATTTGATCAATTTCAAATTTAATGGTCTATATCTAACTAGTTTAAATTAAACGGTGAAAAAAAAAAAAAATTTGTATTAGCACAAAAATTTTAAATCTGTATTATAATTTTATAAATAAAAAAAAAAAAACAAGCAATGAGTAGATTGTTTAACAACCGACAGTTTTGGTGCACTTTTATTTCTTTATACAAAAATAAAGAGAGTGTTTCAGACACTCTTCATTTAGCATTGTATTTTTTTTACATAGAAATTTTTATTTTTTTACAATTTGAATGGATGTATTTTCTTACAATTAAATTTGTATTAATATTTGTATTAATATATATATATATTAATTATAGTATATATAATATAGTATATATAATCTTTAAAATTTTTACATTTTCTTTTTGTAACATATAATATTTTATGTAGTTTGATTAACCAATTTAAGTTTAACATGATTAATTAAACCCTTTTGAAATTTAATTTTTTTGAAATATATTATCTAAACTTTGCCTAATTATTCTATAATTTATATTTCTATATAAATCCTGAAAGCAAAAAACATTTTAAAGAATGTTGACGCGGACTCTGCTTTTGCCTCAACTTTCTATTTTTCTATTTTTATAAATTTTTGAATTTTTATTTCTTTTCTTTTTTTTTTTTTTCAAGTTTTAACTAACTAGTATATAATATATATATTAAAAAATATTTCTGAATATATATATATATATATTAAAAAATATTTTCTCTAAATAGATACATATCCCTTTGAATTCTTTTTGAATATTTTCTTATCTATAGTCATATTTATCTAAATGTATTTATATCAAACCTGAAATATTTATATTTCCTCAATAACCCTTTGAAGTCCCGATTTCAAACAGTTAGAGTACTTCTACAAATGAGGAAATTGACAGAAAGCGAAGCTGGTATCCAAAATTGCCAAGAAAAAGATAAATGAGAATGAGGAGCTGTCATGCTTATGGCTTAAGTAGTTTTGCGCTTCTAATATCAGTTTTTGTATTTTTTTTTTTATTTTTAAACTGTCTAGTGTTTGATTAATGACTACTTTATTATGGTTGTTATTTTTAATTTTTCATTTAAATGGATATGAGTTTCTCTGCCAATTTGTATGTATGTTTTATTTTTTAGAATCTAGAACTTGAAATGTTTTTCTTAATTAAAGAAAATAGATATTGCATATTGCCTCAATACATTTTTATTGCTAAAAGAGAGTATATTTTTGGGAAGAAATTTTATGGTGCAAAAGCTCTATCTTGTGATAAGGGGCAAATGCATAATATCACAATCGAATGTGATATGGTTGATATTAAAAGATCCATGATGTCACTATTTGGTAATGCGATAGGTCATGCAGTTTTCATGTTTCAAACTTGCCTATCTGCTGAGAAAATATGGTCTAGCCAATATGTTTTTGACCACTCTGTATTGGCTTGGTCGTACTCTCAGCAATTCAGGGACTACCAATTGCAAGGTCTTGATTTCTCACTTATATAGCATGCTTGCAAGAATGAATAAAAGTTCATATTTCGATTGTTAAGTTTTTTCGTTACCGCAATTCAAGAATGATGCGATAGAGGTACGATAATGCAATTATAAGTTTCTTTTCATTTCTCTTTTCAATTAACTTGTATAGATTTACTAATGAAAAGTAAATTAATTTTAATTAATTTTCTGATTATTTTAGTTTATTAGTTTATTTATATGGCATTCTGGTTTGTTCTTATTATATCAAAGGGATTTGTTGTCACGACCCGATTCCATGGGCCGGACCGGCACTAGGGCCCAGGTAAGCTTAAGGCCCCCGAGGCCCGTAGTAAGCCTGAAACACTAGCCCAGGTAAGCTAAGGCCCCCGAGGGCCACGTAGTAAGCCTGAAACACTAAAAATTTAACTATCTCAATATAATTTTTAAAAATTTGTAGCCCATATAATCAGTTACGAACATTCCATTTAAATCGGCGCTCAATTAACATTTCGAATCCACATTTTTAATTGGCTCATCATAATAAGTATCGTCTATGATAATAGCACCGACTGAAATGCTATAGTAAATTCTACGACAACTGCGGAGTCACTAACTATTTGGCATCTAGTACATAGCTTTTATCATACATATAACTTACATAGTAAAATAAACTAAGTTAGAATTAGGAAAAATTTCTCTATTGCCCCTGGCGACCGAAAGGAAACAGTATCCTAAATCGTATTAAAGGAAGGACCTTACTTCTGAATACATCAAACAAATACCATGTGAGTTTTCTAAGGAGTAATAATTATTAACACAATACACGCAGTCACACAAATGTGTAAAACATCATCAATCTAGTCAATCCGCACTATTATATTGGCTCACGCAGCCAGGTCACACAAATGGCAACCACTACAAAAAAATTTCCAGACCAGCATCTCACAATCATCTTTACATCTTGCAGTATAATCACATCACGTGTGATAAATTATTTCAGCTGGAAGTCACCGAACCCCCCGACTGAGCCGTCCTCCCACATGGCTCCATGCCTCTTCACATGTCACCAGGGAGCCCGATCCCCCATCAGACTGGCCCGACGTTCTCTAACTCCTCACTTGACCAGAGCCCTCTCACTTGTTCTTTCCATGTGCTCTCTTTTCTTTTTC